AATGAAAATTCTCTCTTTAGATCCTAGCCGTTAGATTTTCCCCCCCTCCTCTCGATCATCACAGCCCTCCACAAACAAAGCCAATAATAATAATAATAAATAAATAAAACTCTAGCTGCCTCAATTTCCTCCTCTGAGCGACAGTAAAATGAAAATTCTCTCTTTAGATCCTAGCCGTTAGATTTTCCCCCCCTCCTCTCGATCATCACAGCCCTCCACAAACAAAGCCAATAATAATAATAATAAATAAATAAAACTCTAGCTGCCTCAATTTCCTCCTCTGAGCGACAGTAATTAAAAGTTACTGTTCACCTTCTCCATTAATCAAGATTGCTCACCGGCGAGCATCTCTTCCAACTCTCTTCATCACCCGAGTTTATCATTGTCTCCTCCTCATCGGGCCGAGTTCGCCATCATCTCCTCCTCACCAGTGACTTCGTTTGCATACAGCACTAAGTTCCTCTACCAATTTACTTGCATGATATCATGATAAGCTTGCAATTTTGTAGACGGATTGAGACACAAATTTTCAGGACCATCTATAAATTTGCAGACCGCTAAATTTATCATATTTAACTAACAACCGAGGGGGATTCATTTTTATTTTATTTTATTCAATTTGTGCAGCTAATTCATAACCATTACAGAGTGTCAGAGGCTGAACCAAAACTCTGATATTATGGAGAGATTATACATTAATGCATCAGGGACCCAAATACGGGACCCAAGGCATGGGACAGGTGAGGTGTCATCATCCGGTTGCATGATGCACTGTTCATGAACAGCGCATCATGCAACCGGATGATGAACGTGTCCCATGCCTTGGGTCCCCTATCTGGGTCCCTGTAGCAACACCCGAGATTATAATGTTATCCTCTAAGATGCGGAGATCTTTCTATAGACTGAAATCTAGACGTCAATTTAAACTGAACTTGGATTGCTCTAATATCATGTCAAAAAAGGTCCCTACAGCTGCACAAAACTCTAAAATACTGATGAGTGTTATACTCAGGAAGAATGGACAATAATTATACCTGTAGGACGGCACGCAAGAAACCGCTCCAGCTGCTGCTGCAGATGCTGAGTCCTAGCAAACACATTTTCTGTCGTCATCTCCCTCACCGGCGTCCCCTGCCCGTTAACCTTCGCCCCTGCAGCCCCGACCACCACCAACGCCTTATCCCTCTCCCTCTCCTCCTCGTCCATCACATCCTCATGCATCTGCTGACTACGACTTCTCATCCTCCCCTTCCTCCTCCCATGCATCCTGTACTCCAACATCTCATCCAGATACCTCGCATAAGTCCTCACAAACGCTGAGTAATCCCACGCCTCTCCCCTCGACGAGCACTTTGTGTCCCTGAAATCTGACATGTTCAGCATCCTCGTCCCCCTGCTCGTCGTGAAAAATATCTCCTGCTCGCACGTTGGGTCCCCTTCAGAAAGCAACCGATGAACAAGAATGAGGGTTTTGAGGGCGACAGTCCAGCTCCGGGTTTTGTTAAGGCGGCGGGAGAGCGTGGAGACGCACTGGCTGATTCATTGTGGCGGGTGGCCTTGACAATGGCAACGTCGAGGATGGAGATTGAGGTGCTGTTGCTGACTTTGGCAATGCTGATGCTCGTTTGGTCCTTAACCGCGCCAAGAGCTTTTCGGATTTTGCTTGGCGCCATTGCTTGTGATGATGATTATGAAGCTTATCTCGGGTTCAGAGAGAGGGGGGAGCAATAGAAACGGGAGATAGGAGACGGTCTCTTTTCCTCTTTGTTTCCTATTTCTCTCTCTAATTAGGTTTGGGCGCCTGGTGATGGTTCCTGTCCGAGGATGGGAAGTAATCCGTTGGTGGTGCATAAATATAGGAGGTTAAGGCGGAGAAATTGTGATGGGGATTTTTGTTGTTGACCTTACTCCATGGCTTTGACCACCTGAGTATCACAAGTCAAACGTTGATCACAACAACCAAAGTCAGATACGCCACGTGCAAATTTATAATTAAGAAAAATAGAAGTAGCTTCTCTCAGAAAAATAAATTGCAATGTAAATCGCCATCACAGGGTTACTTGACGTTCACAACAAATAACAATCAAACAACAAATGCTGCATAAAAAAGGTGGGGAAAACTATAAACAGCTGCAGAAAGATAAATAATGAGCAAACACTCGTTTTATACTGAAATACTGATTCCACGTTAGTATCAAGCCAATTTGAAATAGGTATAAGTTACACATTAATAACTTAAGAAAAATCTAAATAGACATAAAAGTCCAAACGAAAGCAACATCCACGATTTCACGAGATCACCAATAGGTAGAGAAAAAGATCCCGAGACTGAACCACAGTCAGAATCATCAAGAATCGCACCAGATCAAGAATCGCACCAGAAGGCTTTCACTAACAAGCTTCATCGATAGATTCATACGTGATGAGGAGGAGCTGAGCTTTCATGAGCTTCCCTCTTTAGGCAGATGTTGAGCCTGTCAGCAGCAGAAAGGAAAATACAGGCTTACAAAAACTAGAGTTTCTGAAGGCATGACTAACTATACCAACAAATTTCAGAAGATACCTCAGAAGATGGAACTGGGTCCTCCGAGAAAGAAAGTCCACTTATCTGTGGCTCACTTGACATGTAAGTGTCCACTACACTGTCAAAATAAGTGTCATCAAGAAAAGAACAGGGATCGTTGGCAAATGGGCAATTGTAATCAGCAGGAGCAACAAACTCAACAGGGTTTTGGTTGCCAGCAAAACCAATGTCACTAAGCTCCATATAATGTTCATCAGCAAGTTCTGCTAATGCTGGATGCAACTCGTATTCACAATTTATGACATCAGCAAGAGGATTTCCATAAGTTGGTTCAGGAAATGGTCGATCAGAGAAGTCGACAAGGTCGCCATTTAGATATTCAAAGTCGAAACCAGAGGCTGGAATGCCATACTCATGCAGATATGCTGAATCTAACATCTGCTATAGAAGCAGGAAGAAAGTCATATATTCCATAGAAGAACATAGTTATAATAAAATGAAAAGTGAACATAAGCTTACCTCCCTATAAGCATTTTCGGAATGAGTTGGAGACCGGCTTAGGACTGCTTCCAATTGTTCTACAAATATTCCATCATCATAAGAAGGCTCTGGCAAGAAAGAGGATTCACCGACTTCAGCAAGGTATTGCATGGATAATGACCCTTCGACGCTGTAAGGCTCTGGCACGTAAGATGGTTCTCCAACCTCAAAATTACTTACCATAGAGGATGGCTCTCCAACTTCAAAATTACTTAGCATAGAGGATGGTTCTCCAACTTCAAAACTACTTAGCATAGAGGATGGTCCACAAGCTACAGAAGCAACAGATTGTAGAGGAACAGGGGGAAACAAATGAGCATTCTCTGCAGGAGAGATCGGAAAAAAAGCAGGATGCTCAATATTAACATCCCAATCATCATCGTTAAATGGTGCACCATATTGCTCCCCATTTTTTGGACCCGGACCGCTTTTCTGAAAAATTTTGCAGAGAACATATGCATCCTGAAAATAGGATAATGATTTAGCTTATATATCATCACAAAGAAAATCCTGAAAATAAGTCAAATGCATGGACTAGCAACAGAAAAAGAGTAAAAATAATGCAGGTGGATTACTATTGCACATCTCTCTCCATCTCTCCACTAGAACCAAAGAAACAGTTACAAGTAGTTAATGCCTTGTGGAATGTGTGCACAAAAATCTTCATCAAACTAATGCATAATTGCATATACACAATAACAATTGGTAGAGCAACATTCCAATATAATCTTAAACATGGAGTATTCTTGATTATGCGTATCTACAAATCAAAAGATCTATTTTCTAGAGTAAACGTTTTAAGAACTCTAAAGTAAATGTCACTATCACTAGCAATAAGGTCAGAAGTAAAGCTTAAAGGTCTTTGACGTAGAAAAAGGATGAATAATTAAGATGCCAGAAAGATCCTAAATAAAGAAGGATTAGAAATTTTAGCTTTGAGGGTTCTGGAACTTCAGGTGAAACATCTATTGGTTGATGGAGGTTATTTAGACATCCAATTAACATATGCTACTGACATTGTTTTAGTATGAATTCATTACTAACACAATGAGGCTTTGAGGTTAACCAATGTAGCAAACAGCAACAATACAAGAGCAAGATTATCATCACTATCAATTCTCGGTTTTAGAGGTCATAAACCAGGGTGTAACAGCCAAAATTGATGTTCAGAAAGAAATATCAGTTGGTATCCAAGTGAATTTCTATGCACAAGTGATGTTTACTATCAATTAATCTTAAATGATTAAACATTAGACTTTTTTCATTCATTTTTATCCAAATCTATTTCTTTTAGCCAGGGATCAGGAATTGAATACATCTTCAATATTTGATTCAGTGTAGAAAATAACGTGCTACATAGCGTAAGATAGCACAAAACGTAACATAGCGCCGGAAAATAACTCAGATATAAAGTAGCATATGTTATTTACTAAATAGCGTACGCTATTTAGCGCGCCATGATGGCATACGTGAGTGTACGTTAAATTGATCAAGGGTTTGGATTGCTTTTTAAAAGAAATTGATGGAGTTTTTAGGGGGTGAACCCCACTTTTCATAAATAAAATTCACAGAGAAGCCCTAGATCCTTCACTACTCTCTTTTCCGCCTCGAGAAATTGAAAAGCCCTAAATCCTCTTCTTCTTCCTGTCTTCTTCTTCATCGTCTCCTCCTGCTCGCCGTCTTCTTCCTCATCACGCAAGCACCAAGAGAACCCCCATCGACTTCTGAACCCATTGCGCCCGGCAAACCCCTTTGGAGGACCACTCAACATTTAAACCCATCAACGTACAATCTTGACTTGTGATTCAACTTTCTCAAGATCATGTTACATTAAAAACATTAAAAAGGGATCAAATACTAATAATGATCAAAGTAATTACTAATTAGTTTCTTTTAATTTTACATTTATGATGCTCTATTACCTATTAGAGCTTATTGTGATGTAATTTATTTTTTGAAGTCTACACATTACACTCCAAAACCTTAAAAATTAGTATTAGTTGCTAATTAATAAATTAAAAATCATTGTTCTATGCGCTACAGTGTCTGATCGATGGTATTTAATGCTTTTGTGGTTTCTTTTTATAATTTCAGATTAATGATAGTGTTTTTTAGGTTATTAGTGTTCTTTAGTATGATATGTTATCATATTGTTAGATTATAT